TCACTTTGTTTCGGGAGGGGCTGCTCACTGCTCATTGCTCATTGCTCATCGCACACTGCTCAACGCTCATTGCCCTATATCCCACCCAGCCGCAGGACTCTACTGCCGCCCGCGCCCCGCCCCATCTGGCCGCTTGCGCGCCCCATCCCCCCTCGATGGGGCCCGCCCACACCGGGGCCTCCCCCCTCCCGCCCACTGCTTTCTCAACGGCCCCGAGCCGGGGCTGCCCTCATTGCATACATAGTGCGCCTTTCCCTGCTTTTCTAGTGACCTAGCGTTCCGCACTGCCGTTTGGCCAGCCCATGCTCCCGTACCGTTGCGTTTCTCCCCAATGCGCCATGCCACTTTGCCAGTCATACACACGTTTCGATGCGTGCCCTGTCAGCTGCTTGCGTTGCATGTCGCCTTGCTCCACCCCTGTTTTATTGCTTTCTCTGCTTTCGCCCGGTTCCCGTCCCGTTTCGGCGGGGAGTCTATGTTGCAAGCTAGTTCTTGCTTTACCAGACTTTAAGCCCACACAAGCATGGCGGAGGGGGAGCCCACGGTGACGACCGCCGCCCGCCTGGCGGCCGCCAGCTGGCGCTCGTCCAGGCGGGTCACCGGTACCGTTTCGTATATGTTGAGGCACACCATGTCAAAGCCGCGCGCGGCCAGGTCCGACTGCAGCAGAGGAGAGGAGGGGGGGGGCGCGTGTTGTGGAGGGGGCAGTGTGTGTGTGTGTGTGTGTGTGTGTGTGTGTGCGCGCTGTGGTTGCATGCGCGACATGGCATGTGCAGGAGTGGGGCGGGGCTGCCCCACGCCCGTGCCGCACAGGCTGGGCTCCAAGGGAGCTGTTGCTGCCTGCCTGACCGCCTGCCTGCCTGCCTGCATGGTTGCCTGCCCTGCATGGTTGCCTGCCCGCCTGCCGTGCCTGCACGCCCGCCTGACCGCCAGGGCGTGCCCCACCTGCAGCTCTGAGCTGGCCTTGTTTGACGCTGGGTACAGCACTCGCTTGGTGCCGCCCTCCAGGAACGGCAGCTCCGGGCCAAAGTGCTCGGCGTTGGCCTGATGGGCGCAGCAGGCGCAGCAAGCGCAGCAGGACGCGGCATGGAGCTCAGCAGGAGCGCAGCCGAGGACCGCCGTGCAGGCCACGGGGCGAGCGGCCGCGCAGGCATGCCCAGGGCAGGTGCGGCGGCGGGCAGTGCGCCCCCGCTCCACATCACACGCACGCCCACACGCAGCCCCGGCAGGCGGGCCAGGCTCCAAACGTCAGGC